CGCGGGCCGGTGGGCTGGCGGGCGGTTCCGTGCCGGCGGTGGCGGCCGACCGGCCGGTTCGGCTGCCCGGTCCATTCCGGGCCCGAATTTCATCCCGAAAAGTCTAAATTTGACGTTTTTGGGGTCTCCGAACACGTTTTTCGACGTTCCGGACTCAATTTTGACACTTTCGAAGCTCAACAAGACTTCTATGATCAAGTTTCGAGGAACACTTAATTTTCGGAATACAATTTTCGCATTTTGACCAATATAAATTTTTGAAACATATATTTTCAGACTCCTGGAGCTTCGACGTCTGAAAATAGGGGGGCAACTGATACGTCGTCATGAAATCATCTTGATCGTGCACAAATCTTGAGGCAAAAATCAACCATAAATTAAATCCGGGAGCACCTAAAACTCCTATTTCAGTGAACTTACAGTCAAACTGAGCGTCTCGAAAATACAAATCCAACGACACCTAATTCAACTCAATCCGAGCTCAAATGAGTCTAAATCGAAGACTCGAAGTGTTGTTGGAAGGTTCGAATCACAATTTAAGTTACCAAACGGTCTCCGATTTTAACGAGCTTATACTCGAATCAACCGTCTCGACGAGACGAATCCAAGGAGCCCAAGACCGTCATATTCCGACATCACTAAGGCCTTCAAATGTCCAACAAACGGTGCACGATCGAAGGATTCAACATCAACAGTCCATTCGACCACTCCCTATTCGCCCCTGATCTCTCACCTATTTACAAGCCATGCCACTCAAGAAAAATTATAAATAGAGCCCTCATTATTCACAAGGGTACTGAAGTGAGAAGATAGAGAAGCCATAAGAAGAGAAGAAGAGGAGAATCAGCTCCTCCTCGACCCCCGTCAGAGTTTTTCCCGCTGCCTGAATACGCCGGAATTCTGCCGGATATTCGGGAAATGCCGGGATTTTGCATAACTTTGTTTTAATTCAGGAGAAACTTAGTTTAATCTGATTGTCCTATCCTAACTTGTGGGACGAATCAGCTTCTTGTAATTTACACAACACTAGTGGAACTTTTCAACTGGGCATGGCCCCGTGGTTTTTCCCTTTTCAGAATTTTCCATATAAAAATCCTGGTGTTCACTTTCTTTTATGTCTTTGTGCTGAATATTCGTACAACGCTCGGACGGAAATTTAGAAACTCTACTGCAGCGTACATTCTAGCCGGCAACAATTATATTTTTAAAAATCAATATTAGTTAATTATGTATAAAATAAAAAGTTTATTATAACACTTTTTTCTTAAAAAAAATAGTATACTAATAAAATTTTTAAATATAAATCCCTAAAATTCGGAAGAGGTCGCCGAAATCGAACGGCAAAAGCTGTCCAGATGAAGGACGACGACAGCGACGAGGATATCTTCCTGGACGATTCCTTCTTCGTCAATCGAGAGTAAAAATTTTTCTCCTACTATTTCTGTTTAGATCAACAGATTTAACCGTTAGATTATGTGAATTTTTCGCAGCTATGAGCTCACTACTTTCAATTTTGGCAATTCTGCTCTTCAGCTCTTCTGTCTTCGTTCTTCTTCCAGTAAGATCGAAGAATCTTTAACATTACCTGCTAACATTTCACCCTAAATTTGGGGTTAAATCATTTTATAATTCTTTCTCTGCAGCTGATTATGATCTTACAGGGCAGTTAGTATGGCCAGGTGCAGTTCTTCTGAACAATTACCTTTCAGGAAATCCAAAAATGCTTGAAGGGCTTTCCATTATTGAATTAGGTTCTGGAGTTGGTAAGATAAAAAAGTAATTTTATCTTTGCTAGTTTTTATTAATTATCATGTGTTTTATGCCAAGTTGAGAGATCTGTTTGTATTGGCAGGGATCACAGGTATTCTGTGCAGTAGATTTTGCAGCGAGGTTGTATTAACTGATCATAATGAGGAGGTTTTGGAGGTTAGGTATAACTACATTTGATCTATTTATTTGCATTTTTTTCATTTTTCAAACTTTGGCATGTATTTGATCGTAATTCATGTCATTGATTGACAAAGATCATACAATGATGCAATGAATTTGAATTTTTCCTACAACAACAACAACATCAAGCTTTTATGTGGGGTCAGCTGTGTGAATCCTTCTCCTCCATTATGTCTAGTTAAGAATCAATTTCTCATTCAAATTTTTGGGTTGTTTGATTGGCTAAAAATGAATATTGTATAAAAAGAATACTGTATAAAATGAATACTTTGAAGTTGTTTAGATGAGTGTAAAGTAAATACAGTTAATTTTTTTTTGTTTAATTTAAAGTAAAATAATTACGCTGTAAAGTTCAAAGATGGTAGCAAACCACTAATGGTAGTAGTCGGCGGTGGCAGATGGTGGTGGTGGTGGTGGTCGGCTGTTGGTGGCGGTGGAGCTGGAATTGCGCAAAGGCGGGCCTCAAGGCGAGCCTCATATTGCGCAATTTTAAACCATGGGCGGTGGTGATGGTCAGTGATGGGTGGTGTCACTAGCCGGTTGTGGCCGACGGTGGTCAAGCATGTTTGTTTGCCGTGTCAACGGTTCTCGCTTAAAACTAGGCGAGTTTAATTTGCCTAAAAAATTAACTAAAATGGTTTACACTATGTTTATTTTACTTTACTTTGCATTCAATTTTCTTCCAACCAAACACCAATATATTCAAAGCATTTGCATTTGGAATACTTTACACACATTTTACTTCCAACCAAACAACCCTTTAATAAAAAAAAAATTATTTCTAATATTTTCTAGCCATGTCTTTTTAGGTTTACCACTACTTTTTTTAACATAGCACAAATCCAATACATTTATTATCCTAATTAGGTGATCGAAAGGCTGACATTTTATGAGACCAAAGCATCTAAGGTGACTCTCTTTTATCTTATCGGCCATTATAGCTACTCCAACCTTTTCATGTATATACTCGTTTCACATTTTCTCTAAGAGTGAAACCACTCATCCACTTCATCATCTTTGCAACACTTAAACTTAATTTTATGCTTCTCTTTTAATGACCAACATTCTATGCCATAAAGCATTACAAGTCTCACCACCATTTTATAGAATTTTCCTTTAGGTTTGAGGGATACTTTTCTATCACACAATAGGCCCGATGCATTCCTCCATTTCAACCATCCAACTTGAATTCTACTAATAATATCCATATCTATTTCACCATCACTTTGAACAATAGATTCAAGATATCTAAAATAAATATGAATTAATGACTTGATTGCCTAAAGTCACCATCCCCTTATCTAGATTGATTACTACTAATTTACTCTCCATGAATTCGATTTTAGATCTACTCAAATGAAAACCTTTAGACTCTAAGGTTGACCAACATAAATCAGGTTTTCTTCAACTACCTCTCTAGTCTTATTATCAACAAGAAGAATATCATCAGCAAAAAACATACACCATGGTACATCCTCTTGTAAATGTTTAGTTAGAACATTCATGACTAAAGCAAAAAAATATGGGCTTAAAGTTGATCCTTGATGTAATCCAGCTGAAATAAAAAAAAAAATTGTTCAAATCACCTTGTGTTTGAACACAACAGCTACTGCATACATATCCTTAATGACTTGAATATAAGTATTATTAACTCATTTTTTTCCTTGAACTCTCAAGAGTACTTCTCTTGGAACTTTATCATATGCTTTCTTTAAATCAATGAATTTCATTTGGATCCTTTTTATTCTCTCTATACTTCTCCATCAAACTTATTCATAAATGTATAGCTTCCATAGTAAACCTATCTGGCATGAATCTAAATATATTTTGAGAAACATTAGTATCACGTCGTAACCTATGCTCAGTAACTCTCTCCCATAGTTTTAATGTATGACACATTAATATAATCCTCTATAATTCGCACACTTTTGTGTTAGGACTTGAACACCAAAATTAACGAACAAAATGTAAATTTCAGCAAACCACACATATTTTTTTATAAGGAAGTAAACACGAAAAAGTAAGATACATTATTCCTCTTTCGAGAGGAGGACTTTCTCTCCCAAACTCTAGATGCTGTAAGAATCCATCACAAAAAAAAAGTTAGTAAGAATACTCACAAAATCTGTATGGAGAAAAAAAAAAATACAACCAAAAGCCTAATATCGCTTTCTATTTTTCCTCCAAAATCTGAATTTACTCCATATTTTTCCCCCACATGCTCTTTTGATAAGTGATTCACTCATTTAATTCTACTCCCTTTCCATCTCCCCCTTTAATTCTCCTCCCTTTACAACCAAGCAGTCGCCCCCACACCTGGGCCGACATCCTTGACCGCCCGCCTGGCCTTCCTGCCCCTATTTTGAGCCGCTCGCCTACTAGGTTGACCCGGCCCAATTTTGGATTGATTGTAGTGCATGGACTGGCTTAATCAGTCCATCAATACTCCCGCCAATAGTGCCACCTTGTCTTCAAGGTGGAATGAAGGAAATTATTGTTGAATAATCTGATAGGACTCTCATGTGGCCTCGTACTCTGATAAGTTTTTTTCACCTGATGAACACTTCTTTGCTTCCTGTTACTTCCTGGCGCACTCCTTCAACATCCAGTGGTTCTAACAACACCTCCATGTCATTTGTCAAGATCAGGGGAAGTGATGAAAATATAAGGGGCTCCAATGACACATTGCAATTGGGACACATGAAATACTAGGTGGATGGTAGATGGTGGTAATTGTATGTGATATGCCACGACATTGATGCGCTCCACTATGGGTGTCAATTCAGGTCAAGGGTCGGGTTCTGTTCGAACCTGAAATTGACCCGGCACTATTCGGGTCAACCCAAACCCGACCCGTTTTTTAAAAACGGGTCAGGTTTCCGGACCCGAACCCGACCCGATTCGGGTCGGGGTCAACCCGACCCGACATGAATGACTCGAAGTTGACCTAAAATTGCTAGTTTTTAGGTCAAAAATTAGGTCAATCTTTGATTTTCGGGTCAAAATCGGATTTTCGGGTCAAATAGGAGTTTTCGTGTCAATTTCGGGTTGCTGGGTCAACCCGACCCAATTTTTAAAATGGGTTGATTTGTTGAACCCGACCCGTTTCGGGTCCGGGTTGACCCTAAGCCGAATTTTTCCGGGTCGGGTTCGGGTCGTATTTCGGGTAGTGTCAAAAATTGACACCCCTACGCTCCACTATCTTGTAAGGACCAAAATAACAGGGTGATAACTTCTCATTTCTTCCATGTGCCAAGGTTCTCTATCTGTAGGGTCGAAGCTTCAAGTAAAACTTATCCCCCACCCGACTTCAAGTAAAACATGTCCCTCACCTCAAATTGAATGTCTCTCCTGTGTGCATTTGTTTGCCTCTTCATAATTTGTTAAACTCTCAACAAATGCCCCTTCAGCTCCATCAAGATCTTGTCTGTCCTCTAAGTACTGCTCTACTAACGCTATCGGTATGCTGCCTTATCCATAATATATCAAGTGAGGCGGATCTCTTCCGTATAACACCTTGAACAGTGTTATCTGAGATGTTGAATGATAGGAAGTGTTATACTAATACTTTGTACATGCCAACTATTTTTCCCACAACTTTGGTGTATTCAATACAAAGCATCGAAGATAAGTCTCCACACTATAATTGATCACCCCTGTCTGTTGGTCTATCTAAGGATGATAAGCAATGATCTTTTTCAGAATTGTCCCTTACATCTTGAATAATTCCTTCTAGAAGTGGTTGAAAAGATCTTGTTTCGATTCAATACAATCGATTACGGTATCCCATGTAGTTTCACCACCTCCCTCATGAAAATCGTCGCTACTGATAATGTTGTATAGAGGTGGCGAAGGAGAATGAAATGAGCATATTTAACTCAATCGATCCACTTCCACTAATATCATAATGTATCTTTCTGACCCTGGCATTCCTTTAATGAAGTTCATGGTCACCTCCTCACACACCTTTTCTGGAAGAGAAAATGACTGTAGGAGTCCTCCTGGTGACATAGTTAAATACTTGTGCCTCTGACATATATTATATCTAGCCATCATCTTCTTAACATCCTTCTGCATACCCTCCTAATACAACTTTGCAGAAAGTTGGCGATATGTCTTTTTGACCCCTAAATGGCCCTCAATGGTCATCCCATGAAACTTCCAAGGCAAGCAGGGAATGTAAGAAGAGGCCTTTAGAAGCACAAACTGTCCATTATAAAGTAACTTATGTCCAACCACTGAATATCCCAGATGACTGTCCTTATTTTCCACTAGCTCCTCCTTAATTCTCCTCAATCTTGCATCTTGTTTGCTCTTTCTCCTTAGTGCTTCCCATTCAACCAATAAGGGTATAGATAATGCCATCATTTGGGGCTCCCCCATGCACTTGAATAAACCATCTGCTATTTTGTTTTCAACTCCAGGTTAATATTGAATCTCGAATTCATAGCCTAATAATTTGGAAAGTCGCCTTTGATGCTCCTCAGTGATCATTCTCTGCTCCAACAAATACTTTAAACTCCTCTGATTAGTTCTAACGATGAAACTTCTTCTCAATAAATGAGGCCTCCATTTATGAATGGCCAAAACAATCGCTATCAATTCTCTTTCATAGATTGACTTTAGTCTTACCCTAGTCGTCAACACTTGATTGAAATAGGCCACTGGTCTCTGGTTTTGTATGAGTGTTGCTCCCAACCCAAAACCCGAGGCATCTGTCTCAACTACAAAAGGCTGGCTGAAATATGGGAGAGCTAAAACTTGCACATATTTATAGACTTTGTCAACTCCTCAAATGTATGGGTTGATGATTCTCTACATTCGAAGTTATCCTTCTTGAATTGTTCTGCCAACGACCCTACTATAAAATTGTATCCTTTCACAAATTCTCGATACTAACCTGTGAATCCCAAGATTTCTCTCAACTCCTTCAAAGTCTTAGGTATAAGCCATCCGACTATGGCCTCAATCTTACTCTGGTCAGCTGCCACTTCCGTCTGAAATACCACATGCCTTAAATACTTCACTTTGGGTTGCGCAAATGAACTCCTATTCTGATTGACAAACAAAGTGTGCTCTCTTAAGGTAGATAACACAATTCCAAAATGCTCTAAGTGTTCCCCCTCAGACCTGCTATATACCAAAACATTATAGAAAATTACCAGCACAAACCTTCGCAAGTAGGGCAGAAATCTATTCATCAGAGAGTAGAAAGTAGCCGTTGCGTTAGTGAGGCCAAAAAGCTTCACCAGGAACTCATAATATTCCTCGTGCGTCCTGATAGCTATTTTGTGGGTGTCTCTTAGTCACATTATGATTTGGTGGAACCTAAATTTCAAGTTGATCTTAGAGAATATCATAGATCCATGCAACTCATCTAATAGCTCATCAATGACTAATATGAGAAATTTGTCTGATACAATTTCCTTTTTCAGGGCACGGTAGTCTACACAGAACCTCCAACTTCTATTCTTTTTCTTCACCAACAATACAGAACTAGAGAAAGGGTCCACACTAGGCTTGATGATTTTAGTTTCAAGCATCTTCCGAATTAGTCTCTCAATCTCGTCATTCTGGATCTGAAGGTGGCATTATGGCAGGACACGAATGGGGAAGACTCTTTCCTTCAAAACTATAGAGTGTTTGTGCTCCCGTGGGGGTGGCAATACCTAGGGAAGCTGAAATACCTCCCTAAACTGTCGAAATAGTAGCTGGACAATGTCTGGAATGTCCTCTATCTATGCTAGCCAAATGACTCACACTAGGCTTGATGATTTCATCTTCAAGTATCTTCTAAATCAGTCTTTCAATCTCATCCTTCCTTTAGAACAATAGAATGCTCGTGCTCCTGTGGGGGTGGCAATCCCTGGGGAAGCTGGAATGCCTATTTGAATTGTCGAAATAGTGGATGGATAATGTCTGAAATATCCTCTTTCTCCTTTGTCCCACCTCCCTCCAAGCTCTTGAGCTCCACCAAGAATCCTCTTCCTTCACCTTGTATGGCACGAATCATGGTTTTGATAGAAAACTTTGCTTTGGATAAGCTGGGGTCTCCCTTAATTAACACCTTCCTCCCCTCCACCTTGATTTTTATAGCTAATGCCATTCAATTTACCTTGGTCTCCCCCAAGGTTTGTAGTCACTTCATTTCCAAAATCAAATCAGTACTTCCCAACTCCAATGGAAGAAAATCCTCCCTAATGTTAATCCCTGCAGCTCTACCACCAAACCCTAACAAATCCCTCTACTCTTCTCTACCTTTCTTGTGCCCATAATCACTCAAAAACTTCTTATGCTCACTAGTTTCATCCCAAGTTTGTCAACAACCTGATTTGATATAAAATTATGTGTAGCCCCACTGTCCACCAGGATCGCTACTGCCTCTCCTCCTATCTATCCCCTCATCTTCATAGTGTGATTCAGGGTGAATCCCACTATAGAGCTCAATGAAACTTCAGCCACCTCCAAGAGTAAAGACTTCTCTTCCTCTACCTCCTCCCTTATTGCTTCTACCTCCTCCACCTTTCTCATGACACACAAAGAGAATCTATAAGGTATGATTTTTTGCATCTATGTCCCAGTGTAAATTTCTCGTCACATCTCAAACATAGCCTCTTAACCCTCTTGTCTTGCAGTTCAACATCAATCAGCCTCTTGATGTTTCCTCTTTGTCGGACTCCCGAGCTGCGCTCCTTTGAAGCCTCTCTTTGAACTAGTATAGTCTGTACCCTATGTGCCATGAAAGTGGTCATCATGCTGTAAGAACCTCCCAAACTGACCCCCCTTACTACTCTGCAGTGAATTCTTGTCCTCAATCAACTGAGCCAATTTCATTGCCTCCCTCAAATCATGGGGCCTTGCTACCCGCACCAGTGCTCTCAACTCTGGATTGAGGTCTTTCATGAAATTGCTCTCCAACACTGTCTCTGATAACCTCCCTACGCGTCTTGACAGAAGCTAAATCTTTCTCGATACTCCATCACAGTGCCTACTTGTGTCAATGCAAATAATTGCTCATAGTAATCCCCATCCCGCTTGGCTAAAAAATGCTCAAACAAGCAATCCTTAAATTCTTCTCACGAACAGATCAGGTGCTTCGTCTCCCTCCATTGGTACCTTGCCAGTGCCTTACCCTCAAGACATAGAGCTGCTGCCATAAGTCTCTCACCTTTTGTTAACCCATTCACCTTAAAATACCTCTCCACTCTTTAGATCCTCCCATGCACATCCTTGTCTTTAAACATCGACATTTTTAGCTTCCTAACCTTCGGATTACCTCTGCCCCAATTTCCTCTTCTGCCCCTCATGCCTCCTATGAAGCGAGCATTGGAATCTCTCCAGGGTTACTTCTCCTCCCTTCTCCTTTCATATCCCTCTTCCTTCAAAGTTAGTCTACCTGTTATATTCTTCTCATTCCCTCTTACCTCCATATTCTCCATCCATCCCCTTTCTTGGTAGAGGCTCAAGGTGGGGTATTCCCTCCTCTTCTCCTAAAATTTTCACCTCGCTGTCTTCCCTCGGTATGTTATTTTTCCTGATTCTCCTTGCTTTCAGCGGAGCCGCTTTAGTTTGAAACTCCAACATCCGCTTCATCATCACCTCTAGATTCCCAAACTTTCCTTCCATCGGTAAAAAACGCTCATTCAACGATCCTACATCCGTTCGCAGCTGCCCTACTTCCCCATTCAACTTTTCCTCTAACGCTTCAACTCTTCTCCCTGCCATCGGTCCTAAGAAATTGCTTTGATACTAATTTGTTAGGACTTGAACACCAAAATCAGTGAACAAACAGTAAATTTCAGTAAACCAAACATATTTTCTTGATAAAAAGCAAATATGAACAAGCAAGATAAAATGGTCCTCTTTCGAGAGGAGAACTTTCTCTTCCAAACTCTAGATGCCACTAGAATCCCTCACAAAAAACAGTGGATAGCAAGAACACTCACAAATCTTCATGGAAAAAAAAAATACAACCAAAAGGCCTAATATAACTCTCCCTATTTCCCCACCTAAACCTGAATTTTTTCCTCCATATTTTCTCCCACATTCTCCTTTGATATGTCATCGACTCTTTTAATTCTCCTCCCTTTCCAACCACGTAGCCCCCCCACCACTTGGACTCTCATCCTTGAAAGCTTGGCCTTCCCGCCCCTATTTCTGAGTTGCCCGCCTATTGGGTTGAGCCGGCCCAATTTTGGGCAGTTCTAATGTATCACATTTATTCTTAAAAATAGGAATCAACATAGTCCTTCAAATATTGCCTACTGCATAAAAAAGGTTCATTTCTATTAGTGAATAATTGTTGGGAAAGACAATGATAGTGAAAAAAAAATGAAAATAGAAAAAGAGATCATTGTGCAAAAGCTCACAATATTTTATAAAGACCACCAAATGATAATTACGTAGTATTTTCACAGTGAAGATTTCACTATGGTTTGATTGTAGGGGATTATAGCCCTAATTTGCTAAAGAATGATTAGGGCAACCTAACATACAGTAACATATTTTGAGCTCCATAATGACAACATAAAAACCTACAAAATAGGTTTATGTAGCTCGTTTTCTTCGTAGGTCAATAATTAAGTTCTAGAACTTAACATTAATGGTGAAGATAAAATCCGTTTTATACTATGTTGTTTGTCAAGCCTTTTGAAAACCATACCAGTTTCCAAATAATTCTGTTTTGTTCTTAGTTTCAAGAATCATTCATCGTTTATAATTAGGCATGCAGAATTGACTAAGAGCAAAAATCATTTTGTGATGTTTTTATATTAATGGGTTATTTGTTTAAGTTGTTAGATTCTGAGGAAGAATATAGCACTTGAATCATCTTTTGGAAATCTGATTTCTTCTGGTAAGTAATTTCGAGGATTTGAGGTTGAATCTACCTATATTTTGATTAAATCAAAATAATGACTACATGTGTTATCAGTCATATCACAGCATTGTTAGATGGATAAAACTATCAATCTCATGGCTTGCAGGATTAAATGCTGAGAAGCTTGAATGGGGAAATCGTGATCAGTTGGGCCAGATTTTGCAAAAGTACCGTGGGGGATTTGATCTTATTCTCGGGGCTGATATTTATATCCTAAGAAGCCCTCTTATTTTCTTTATTGAGTTATTAATATAATTATTTATATGATCCTTAACAGTGCATAAGCTTTCAACAGTCTAGTGTTCCTGTACTTTTTAGAACTGTGGAGATACTTCTTCGTTCCCAGGCAGGCAAATGCAGATTCATACTAGCTTATGTGTCTCGGACTAAGAAGTAAGCGGATTTTATTTCTAATCAGTTCCCCTTATATTCTTTCTGCTGTTAAAGGTGTCAAAAGAAAAAAAAAAATCAAAGATCAGTTCCCCTTATATACTTTAGTTAGAGAATGCTTGTGTTTGGACATTCAAAAAATCTTGGTTAAAACAATTTCTTAAAAGCCAAGAATTTTTATACTATATCTTCAATAATATATAGGTTTGTAGTACCAGGTTTGTCTGTACCCATACATGCATCTTTTCTATTTCTTTGTTCTATCAATTTCAGGAGAAGAGACATTGAATAAAAGTTTTTGTGGAGAGAAGCAAATCTTAGTTTTGTATTAAGCCGTGAAGTTCAATTTTTATCCTAGGAAGAAAACTCACTACATAGATGTAGTTGTGAGTTGGTCTTCGTTATAAGGTCCGTATGAGGTTTGGGAGAGAGGGTGCGGAGCCCCCTTCCCAAGGGTTCGAGTGAGGAGCCCCTACAATCATCCGATATTTATGGGCTATTTCATTATAGACGTTTTGAGCATTTTATTGCATTTTCAGTTGCCTTAGATTTTTTATTTATTTATTTATTTACTTATTTTAGATTTTTCTTTATAAATAGGATGGTGTCATATTTATGTTGTATTAGATAAATCAAGTCTATAATTCTCGACCATCAAATCATTGTGAAATTTATAATAGTGGCGACAAGATTTAGCCATCATTGCATGCTTTTTCACATTTTTGTACGTTTATCTTTTTTTAGTTCTCTGTTCATTTTTTCTCTCTATATTTGAATTAGGTTTTATCTATTCCTAATAATATAATAGATCTAAACACTGATTCTACAGTATAATGTAGAAGTGAAAAACAACTTTTTTTTTTTTTTGTGAAAACTTTCTCCTCGCTATATTGTCAAGAAATGATTCGTTTAGTTGTATAACAAGTTCAGAAGAAAGATTTATTCATTTAATAATGATTTTAGTGTTCTCATACCTTTCTCGAATGAAACCTCTTTTTGGGTAGTCGATCACCTTGCCTCTTTTGCGCAAGCATATTTAGTAAGTTTCATCAAATATTGTGTGGTAAATTAGGTAATGATCAGTGTGGAATTAAATCTATGCATATTGAGTACTTTTGAGCGGTGATAGTTCAGTATGAAGCACTTGAAGATGTAAATTAATTTAGTTGGTTACAGGAGTTATTCCAAGACGTCTTTGAGATGGAAAACTATCCATCAATTAAAGATTGAACTTAGCAAAGGATATTATGCATACTAGGCTCAACACAAAAACCAATACTCATGTATCGTTGGGTTTAGGGAGGAGGTGATATCATATCTTGTTTAAGATTGGGTGTACACCTATATTTTGAATCACACTTTATTATAAGTAGGATAAAAAGCTCACTAATAATACTATAATTGTGGAATCTTGAATTTAGGAGATGGTGGTTGTGAGAATGGTAACTCATTCATTAACCAAAGACAACCATAGACTAAAATCCAAAATACAAAAGCAAATATAAACTAATTTTATTTTATCAGAAAATAAATATATTAATCCAGTCAACTTTCAATCATCTATACATCAGAAAGGATTAAAAATTGGTTTAACAAAATAATACCTTCGCCACTCATACACAAAGGATCCTACCTCAACACTTCAACTACTCTATCAGGGTCTTACCCTTTCCTGTAATATCAAAACATCTTCAATGCCATATTATGCATAATGCAAATATAATGCAACAATAATTTAATTAGAAATCCAATGCAATACTCAGATAATGCATGAATTTCCTATAAAAAGCTACATTTCTTGTAAAACATAATACTCATTGAACATTGCCCATTTATTTTCTAATTTTAGAGTAACATTCATATGAACATTTTAAGATTTTTATGTAACTATTGCATTTATTAGTAACGCTTTAATTTAATATTATATTCATAAATTTGTGCAAGAAAAACCAACTGATAAACCTTCAATTTCATATAGTCAAAATATTCATAATAAGGAATACAATAATGTGGGCTCCAAAAATTCATCGCGCCCGAACCTTTCCACACCAGTCTCTTTTCTTGTTTGTTTATGACGGCGGAGAGTTTTAACGAGCTTTTGTTTCGGGTGAATTTTCAGAAGACATTAGGTTTTTAGATAAGACACCACCTAGAGATTTTGCCCTCATTTTATGAGGACTTTATGATCTGAGTTATGGTTTTCTATTGGCGCAATCCCTTATAGTTAATTACCACTCTTGATAACAAGAGAACTTTCGATTAAGGCTAGTTATTAAAGAGGTCGCAAAGGTTGTAAATCCAGTGTATAATAGCAACGATTTTAGGATTTGAATTTGGGATATGAATTTTGGAGTTTAAGACTTAAAGTTTATAACCATAAACATAAAAGTGGTGATGGGGGAATAAAGATGAGCCCGATCAAGATCCCATGGTTCTGTCATCCCGGGCTGTCATGTTCCCTGGTCTATTTAGTTATAGGAGGTAGTCGACCCAACCTGATAGAAGTTTTCTTATCGGTAGCCATGGGTGCTTCATCCAAGAATATCTTGTAGACCTGGATTGGTGTTTGTCTAAGGGGAAAGATCTGAATCTACCTTAGTTGATAGAGGGATTTACGCCTATCGAATATACCCTATGATTCATTATTCAAGGGTTTGACGTCATTAGGGTTTATATGGGCTTTGGCCGTGATCATAATATAATGGTGCTATTTTTGCAGCAAAACTACTCAATCAAAGGGCACGTGCCACTTCCTTGCAAGCAAGACACTATTTGAGGATGAACCTTAGTGATACACCCGACTCGACATTCGCTCTTTGTGAGCTGAGGTTAATTTCAAATTTATCACCCCCAAAAAATGGTTGTGGGAGGTGAATGAGTTTTAGTTTTAAGTGATATATTTTATTTTAAAAAGATAATCTTTTATTGGTTTTGAGATTTAAGCCCTCCGATTGATATTTATATTCAACACGAACATCATCAGGGTGATGTTAAAGTCACTTGTACTTTTATAGAAATTTGGGAGGCATTTTATGATTCAAGTCAGGTCGGCTCAAGTCTTTTATGGAGGAAGATGAAACTTGAATATTTGACCCGTGCACAATTCTCAGATTGTTAGATTTATGAATCATATGTAATGATCGGAGCACATGCGAGTTATATTATGTTTGAAAATAGAATGTTATATTTGAAAGTGCACTGTTAGCACTTGAAAGTTTGTTAGGGATGTTAAGCCCTTATGAACTAGCTCAAAGGCTAACCAAGAGGGAGGTGAATTGGTATTTTAAAAACTTTTCAAACAAATCACGAATCTTAAATCAAAACACAATTCACCACAATAAAACCAAAATGCGAAAATTAAATGCGGAAATAATAAAAGAAAAAAATACACCAGATTTATAGTGGTTCGGTTAAACCTTGACCTACGTCCACTCCTCGGAGGCACCCTCTGAATATTACACTAAACTTAGTGTCTCTCCTTTAGCCCCCACAACTAGGAGGAGAAGCCCTTACAAAATCACTTCTACCTTTCCCGGTGCGGCGGAGTAGTCGGGCCCTTTGACACCAAAAAGATCTTCTTCTTCCCAAAACTTCCCTCAAGATGAGCCTTGAATCCGATGGTACTAAGGTACAAGCTCACCGGAGCAACCGTGTTGAACCCCCTCCACACTCCCTTGAAACCCTCTCCAAAGATCTTCTCCCTCTCTCAAACTTCACAATTTCTTCTCTCCCTTTCAAGCTCTCTCTTCAAGTCTCCTCCAGAAGAACGAAGCTTCAATGGCTGTCAAATACACTATTCATGAGAAAGCAAGAGGTCTTTAAATAGATTTGCAAAACCGACATTATCGTCCAGGATGATCGTCGGATCGTCCCGTACGATATGCATGAAAAGAGAGCTTCTAAAAATCCTAAAAACTCAATTTCGGAGCCAAACATTATCCAGGACGATCGCAGGATCGTCCTGTACGATGCGCTTAAAAAAATGGCTTCAGAAAACCCTAAAAACTCAATTTCGATGCCTAGAATCGTCCTGGACAATCGCAGGATCGTCCAGTACGATGTGCAGAATTTGACCTGATAGTCCTAGACGATATTTAGATAGTACAGGAGGATTAGTACAAAAATGTAAAGATTGTCTAGGACAATATTGTGGATTGTCCAGGACGATTAGAAGAAAAATTATGGTATTTTGGCTTGGACGATTTAGGAAAATCAAGTATGTCGGCAAACATCGTCCAGTACGATATACAAATCGTCTAGAACGATCGGATTAATTAATCCCCAAATCACAGGATCAATTTAGGCATGATTTGTATTGATCGTCTTGGACTATCCAGATTGTCCGGAACGATTAGAACAAAAATTAAATCTTAAAATCTTGCCTAAATTAGTATTGGCGGCTATTTTCCAAGATCATAAAGGATCGTTGTGGAGGATCCAAAATCGTCCAGTACGGTTAGTTCAAAACTTGATCTTCTGGATTTAACTAGTTCTCACTCTTTTGAGTGTGTTTACATGGTCATCAAGCAAGCATACACCCTTACAAGACTTGACTCAAGAAATCAAAATTACATCAATGAATATTAAAGACCCTTTTACAACATAACATTATTCAACCAAATCTTGAGCTCTGATTCTTTGTTTGATGTTGTATGGTATTCATGAAATATTAGTATACACACAAATAAACATATATTGCAAATATAAGTAGATAACAGAAAGTGAGCCATAATATTTGTTATCATCAAAAACATAAACTCATAAGCTTGAGTTGGAACAATATTAGTGAGCATTTAATCCTGCACAGCATTTTCAAACATTTGTGTTTGTAATTTTAACACGTTGATCGGAGCACATGCAGGATTTTATTTTAGTATATAATTTTGAGTTATTATACGAGTTGTCTTCTGTCTGCTTATACAAATATTGCATATCCGATGATGTTTGAATTCATGATGTTTCTTGGAGTGAAATATTTTGGCGGATCACAGTTAAGCCCTATC